TTATTTCTGTCATTGATTATCTATCTACTCTTTACACTCTTATCCCACAGCCGCCCTATCAAAACTTCTCACTTGTTTACATTCCACTCGTCAAAATGTGTTCCCTTTTGTGGTAAACCTAGTGTGGCCTCATAACACTTGCTATTTACCCCAACCCCTTTCTTTCAATGGGCTTATCCGACTCGGGCCTCGAATCTGGATCCTTTCATTGTGTTGTAGATCCGTTCCTTATCTTTCTGGTTGGCTGATTTCACTCAGGTCCAGCCCCTGTGTGCATTTCACTCCAGGTGCTATTTCTTAAGGCTATAGAAGCACATACACTGCCGCTTCACTGAGTGGAGCGCTTAAGCTCTGATCCCATGCTTGCAGATATCAGGCCTTCCCTACACTGGTCGTCTCCTTGATTAAACCTATGTTATCTGAGCAAATTGTGGACGCCTATTTCTGGTCGCATGCGGCATCTCAAGTGGATTTCCAGTACATTTTGGCAATAACGCTGAATTTCCGTGACGGTTTGCTTATCCGTCTGCCCAACTCCCTGACTGCCAGGCTCCCAAAGTTGTACTGGTTTATTCGACACGGACATCACTCACTGACGACGTCTTCCCTTTATTGCCGAAAACCCCTACCCCCCACTTCATCGCGATGCCTTTTCCTCCGGTTAGCAGTAGATCCTTGATCCAGGCGTCTCCTTTTTGCTAGTCTTGCTCTATTCTTGTTTTCCTCGAGTTTGATTAGGCAGTAGGCAAAGTTATCTCTAGCTCTACCTACCTCCAATCTCCTGTTTATTAGATTTTTCTCCCCAAGGATGTTAATGGCCTCCCTTATCTTCCACTTCCTTGTGTTGTCACCGTATGGGGCTCTCCTTTCTGTCAACACTTTTCACAAGTCTACCGACGCAACATAAAAGGATAGATAAATTGGATCGTTTAGGAGTTTACTGTATATCATGCGGCGCCTGCGAACATAAATATATTGGTCAAACAGGGAGAAAAATTAGTCATACGAATCAAGAAACACTAGAGGCTTTGCAGGAAAATGGATACCGGAAGATGAGAACTAGCGGAGCAAATCGCACAGACTAGACACGAGATCAATTAGAAGGCAACAGGAAGAAGAGCCCCATACGGTAACAACACAAGTAAGCGCAAGATAAGGGAGGCCATTGACATTTTATATCAAACTTTAGAATCTTCCAACAGTCCCTTAGATCCGTTAGGTTTCCTTTTTAAAAGTTTATTGTATTACTGAAGCTAAGTCCTTATATTCAAAGGCATGTGTTCCTTTGCTGTGATAATAGGGTTGGTTGCATGATGGATCCTTAGGAATGCATCTTCAAAAAACTATTAATGGCTGATATAAGGTGTACAGTAGTATTATTTCCTTTTTTTGCAGCCCTTTTCTGTTGGAATGACTAGGAACCGTAATCGAAATTTGTTTACCTTTGATGGATTACTTGAGAATTTTCAAAGCAACTCCGTTTCTACTAGCCACACGCCCTCAAACATGAACACCAGTAAGATGCTATCTGGGCCCAGATTGCCTTGTGATTTTGATATGCGAAAAGAGCATGCTATAAAGAGCAAAGAAGATGAAGCTTTTAGCAAAGGCCATCAATTGTCTTCTGGTGCCTCAGTCCAAGATATTGGTCATGAAACGAATTCCTCCATCTGTACCGCCTCTTTTGATCTCTTGCCTTTTCAAGCGCTGCCGAAATCCAGAGATCAGGTAGGAATCTTGAAAGGTTTGAGAAATGTGATTAAACTATGCATTCTTCACCTATATTTATGATTATGGTTTTGACGAAATCTTATTTCAGTCATGCTACCTAATTGGTTGCATGGAAATTGTTCGTTTTCCCATATTTTTACATTATAGGCTTTTTTGATACACTTAGTGGCAAGCCTTTAGCAAGTTAAATTATATAACAATTTCATATTAAGGCAGTTTAATTTTATAATACATAATCGAAGGTATGAAGAACAAGATTATATGGCCTTTTGTATGATCGCAGTCTCATTTCGTTGTATAGAAGTTGTTTGACAACTTTATCTTCACCCCTTCACCCCTTGACTATCACAATTTCTTATTCAAATGTGATATGGTGTGCCCTTTTTAAGCGGATTTCATGAGAACTCTCCAAACCACATCCTGGCTTTCTTACCCCTTCACCCTGCTTCGCCATTTTGCTAGGAATGTTGATCGGAGTCTGCCAAATTATTGCGCAATCCTCTTCCAATAGGTCTTATCAGAGTCTCCCTCTTGCTCCGTAAGATCTGCCTTCTACCTTCCTGGTTCAGGCAATTCACTCGACCCCTGCCACTCTATCTAGGCGTTATTTACACATTGCCTCAAGCCTTTAATGGCACTTATACTCCCGCCACTTAGGCTAAAGAGCCCGCGTAATTCTCATGGCCAAGCCTTTGCTTCATGGACCACGTTATGATAAAACACGTCTATTGTTAGCCAACTAGCTCTAGTTTCCGCCGTATTTATAGTGCTTCTAGCCATATTGCCAAGTCTATGACTTCCTATGCCATAGTCTCTTGTGTGCCAACCCACAAATGTTGTCGTTCTACTTGTTTTGATTAGGTTTAATGTAGGATCACAACATTTGTGGGTTTACAGACAAGAGACTAGGGCATAGGAAGTCATAGAAGCACGATAGATACGGCGAAAACTAGAGCTAGTTGGCTAACAATAGACATGCTTAATCATAACGTGGTCCATGAAGCAAAGGCTTGGTCATAAAAATTACTCGGGCTCTTTAACCTTAAGTGACGGGAATATACGTGCCATTAAAGGCTTGAGTCAATGTGGAAATAACGCTCAGATGAGATGGCAGGGGCCGAGTGAAATACCTGAACTAGGAAGATAGGAGGCAGATCCTACGGGGCAAGAGGGAGACTCTGATAAGATATATGCGAAGAGGATTGCGGAATAATTTGGCAGACTCTGATCAACATTCCCAGCACAAGGGTGAAGCAGGGTGAAGGGGTGAGAAAGCCAGGGTTGGGTGTGAAGATTTCTCATGAAATCCACTTAAAAGAACATACAGTACCACATTTAAATAAGCGATTAAGAAATAAGATAGTGATACGAGGATATAGGATTGGTGAATAGCCCAGGGCAGAAGTAGAGATACCATAATTGCTTAGCAGACAATTGATCTAAGGATCAGCTTCACTTGTCTATTTAACGAGGACTAGTGTGGTGTTAAGGCTGGCAACGCTCACTGATGATCCCGGTGAAACGCCCGGGAGTGTACCTGGTCCAGGGTACGAAATGATAAATGATCATCCATACAATGGACTCCGGAGTAGGTGCATTCCTCTGGGTCTTCCTATCAATATGACCAAGTTGCGTAAACAAGGTAAAAAAACTTTTATAATACATAGTTTCTAGATTGAAAAAAAGGTAGCCATTTAAAAAATTCGTCGAGGCTTTTAGCAAAATTAACATTGCACAGAATGGTGCACCTAAATCACAGCTAAATTGTCATATATGGAAGTATTCCCCCTCATTTCATGAAGGTGATTAATGTCTAGTAGTTGAATTTTTCCACAATGACATGATTAGGCCTTGCGTTCCCATAGTACTTAACGTTTCGAGATTATACGCTGCATTATCACGATTGAAGTCCCGCTGGAAGTTCTGATGAGACTTAGGCCAGTTGAAGCTGAAACTCAACCTGAATGAGAATACCTTTTGGGAAGCAAAGCTATATGAAATTCAATGGGAGCCTAAGGCCTACCCTTATCATTATTGGAAAATTTAGACCAACAATCCTTCATTATCTTAACGAAATAGGGAGAATGCGTCCCATATATTCAATCTACCGTTAGTCTCGAAAACCTACTTATCAAATAAAACTAAGTTATACTTTTCCTGTCCAGTTTGCTTAACAGTGATCTATTTAAGCTCAGTTCTCTCAATTCACTCCTAACCCAATCATTCATTTGTAGATATTCTTTATACTTAATCCCCTTACTTTCACACTAGAGATTAACAGTGATTATCACGATCAGACCATTGTGATCTACTCAGCCATGAGACCACTTCACAGATTTTCTGAGACGCTGTTCCTACCTATTCCTCGGATATGTAGGGTATAATAGCCAAAAAGGGGTCTTGTACATGAAGACCCGGTCTAGAAGATATCGGCTTTATTGAGGTCAGAGTGCTCGGGACAATTTTATGAAAGGACCTTGAGCAGAAATGATTACATCGTAGATATGTAGACCAAGATGGTATGGTCTTCTGTTTGGTTGCAGTATTGTGTCGATTTGGTCTCGTTTTCGCAACTGGGTCCGAGAGACAGGGAGATTCTGCGGAATTTACCTAGTCCTGCGTCCTCTGCCATAGTATTCGTAATTTCTGGCATCTGACCATTGACTTGATACATTCTCATACATTTCGCCGGCATCTTCAATTGCAGGCTCCATCTTTAACACAGAGTTACAACTTATCATAGTGACAAGTTAAGGCAATCCCCTTGACCACTTTTCTGTTTAACCGTTGAAATGATTATGTTTACACTTCCACGCCTGAGATATACTTTATTGGCCATTGCAATGCTGAGATAACTGAAGTTCGTCATTTTACTCTTAAGCTTCAATAATATTTCATATACACATATTATTCATATTGATCACTCTTCAGATAGAAATTTTGCTTCATCTGCTTTTTAAGACCTTACTATTGACTCATAGGAAACATTTTGAGTTTAATCTTGAAATAGTGTGTCATGATTTAATAGGTATCACAGTTTCTCCAAAATTATTATCACCTGTAAAGCTGTGACGGCTTTAAACAAACTCCCATTGAATGAAGAATTTTTAAATCGTTGTGCACTATTGGGAAAGAAATATAAAATGTGAATAGAAAATTGCATATATTTGCTTCAAGCATCAATGCTATGCCGATACCAATGGCTAATATTCGGAAGATCAAAACTGAAATAAATAAGATATTTATATTATTTAAGATGTTTCCGTTTTA